GCTGCCCCCTGGACGGTCCATCCTTGTGCTGAGGGCCTCCTGGAGCTAGGCCCACCAAGCGGGTCACACAGAGTCGGGGGTCACTGCCAAGAGCCTCAGGGCCAGGCTCCTCATTGGACCCTGCCAGCTGGCTAGGGAACCCTACTCCTGCATACAGACTCTGCCTAACCAGCCCTGATGCCAGCCCCAGCTCCGGGGACTGAGGCCCTTCCGCTAGGAGTTGGCAGGGTCCCAACCTGTCCCTAGGAGCCAGCCCAGGCCCTGAATCTTCTGGTCTCTGCTGCAGAGCATCAGAGGAACTGTGACCACGGGCTGGGGGTTGGGTGGTTCCCGAGGGACCCTCTCCTAAGGACCCGGGGTGGGATTCATTGCCCCACAGCGGCTGCTGGCACACAGCTCAGTTGGCCAGGTACCAGGGTTATTAGCTCATCCCATGGAGGGGGCAGGGGATGTAGGGCTGGCACGGCCTCTGATCCTCAAGTCTGCCACCTGGCACCCACTCCCTACCCACTGGCAAAATGCCAGCGGAAAGCGAGGCCTACAAGTGCCCGGCTGCGAACGAGGTGCAGTGTGGCATGCACAAACACGGGCCGCACCAGGTGTGGGCTCCCGAGCTGCTGGGACACTATGGTCAGATCCCTGGCCAGATTGGGGTAGGGAGAGGCCCGTGAGGGACACCTGCCAGCTCTTGGAGCAGCCCCAGTGCTCCCAGGAGGACAGGGTGCAGGAAACGGAAAGAGCTGCCTGTACCGGGCTCCACGTGGAGCACGGACTCCAGCTTCCTGGAGCTTCCGGGAGCCCAGCCAGGAAGGCGAAAGGCCCATTTTCTAGCTCTGGAGAAGTCATGAGTCCCAGGTGACAGTCCGGGGACTTGTAACAGAGGACAGTAGGATTGATCCTAATAGCGTGGCCCCTTCCGCCCCCCTCCCCTGGAGGGGACAGCAGGTCCCCCGTCAAGGGGGTGCCCATCCCCCAGGAAGCCGCGGACTTGTTCATTCCACAGCTTTTCCCTTAATCTGTGCCTGTGGCCTCCGCCAGCCAGCAGTGGGAAGCCGCTGCGGAGAGGGAGGGGGGAGCGGAGGGAAGGGCAGGGGAGGGGGCGCTCCTTCCTGCCCCCTCCCCGATTGGCGGCCTGGGAAAAGGCAGCATATTGAGGCGCGGGGCTCCCGGCATCAGGCCCCGGGATGCTAATGAGGGCGAGCGCGTTCCCACAGCCGGGACATTGTGCGGCGCGGCCCACCTGCTCCTTGGGGAGCGCCCATTGTGCCCGCGCCAATTCACAGGCAATTTAGCGTGCGCTAATGGGCCGGCGCCTTTGTGCGGCCCGCGCGGCCATTGGCCGCGGAGTGTGGGAACGGCCGCGGCGCCCGGACCCCAGGCGCCAGGCCGCCGCCCGCGCCTATATAAGGGGAGCCGGCGCGCCGGGCCAGTGTCCGCGCCAGCCCGGGACGCGCTTGGCCCTGCCCGCTCCCGCTCGCCCTGCCCGGCCTTCCCGCCTCGCCTCCTCGCCTCCTCCGCGCCTGGCATGGCCCCCAGCACCGTGGCCGTGGAGCTGCTCAGCCCCAAAGAGAAAAACCGAGTAAGTGCCAGCCTCGCCCGGCGCGCGGTTCCCGGGGGTTTCCCAGCGCCGCGCCCCGCCTGACGCCGCCTCCTCCCGCAGCTGCGGAAGCCGGTGGTGGAGAAGATGCGCCGCGACCGCATCAACAGCAGCATCGAGCAGCTGAAGCTGCTGCTGGAGCAGGAGTTCGCGCGGCACCAGCCCAACTCCAAGCTGGAGAAGGCCGACATCCTGGAGATGGCCGTCAGCTACCTGAAGCACAGCAAAGGTGAGCGCGCCCGGCTCCCCCGCGCCCCGCCGTACCCCGGCGCCCCGAGTTCCCCCCGCGCCCCGCCGCCCGCTCACCGCCACCGCGTCTCCCCGCAGCCTTCGTCGCCGCCGCCGGCCCCAAGAGCCTGCACCAGGACTACAGCGAAGGCTACTCGTGGTGCCTGCAGGAGGCCGTGCAGTTCCTGACGCTGCACGCCGCCAGCGACACGCAGATGAAGCTGCTGTACCACTTCCAGCGGCCCCCGGCCGCGCCCGCCGCGCCCGCCAAGGAGCCCAAGGCGGCCGGCGCCGCGCCCCCGCCCTCCGCCAAGGCCACCGCCGCCGCCGCCGCGCGCCAGCCCGCCTGCGGCCTCTGGCGGCCCTGGTGACCCGGCGGGATCTCGGGCGCGCGGCCCGAGGACCAGAGGGCAAGTCGGCTCCCCTCGCCCGTAGGGAAGCGCCTTCCCGCCGCCGTCCGCCCCGGGCTCGCACGCTCCCTTCTCCGGAAGGCTCCGGCCCCAGGCTGGCCGGCCCGCAGCAGTCCTATTCTCAGAGAATGTGTGTGCAGAGTCCCTGCCGCTTAGGACAGTCAGGGCCCAGCTTCTGCCAAGTGTCTGACCCCATGGGGTTGTTCTGTGTTTGCATTTAAGCAAGTGACTTCTGCGAAGTCCCCGGCCGCCCGGGGTTCTATGATATTTGTAGCGCTGGGGCTGGCACGCCGGTGCCCCCAGCCGTAGAGGACTTTCTTCAGGGCCCGTTGCTGCTGGGCGGACCCCTGGCAGGCGGGCTGTGCCGAGGGCACATTTGCCTTTTGTGAAGGCCGAACTCAAGCTGTATCCTCATAGGAAACAGTGATCAGCCTGGACAGGCGCGGAGGACCCTGTGGGCCGTGGCCAAAAGGTTCCGAATGTGCCTGGCGGTCTGGCTGGGGCTCACAGTGGACTGTCTGGGGAGGGTGGGTGCCTCCACTATGATCCTTAAAGGATTCCTCTGTGTGGGTGGGTGCACGTGGGCACGACTTTGTACTCAGAAATTGAACTCTTGGTCGCTTGGAAGCCACAGGACTGCTCTGAGGCCGCTAATAAAATCCGACTGTTCAGCCCCCTGGGTCTGTCTGCTGCTGTGCCTCGCGCCTGTCCTTGGCAGCCACGGGCCGGGTCTGCAGGGGTGAACCGGAATGGGCAGGGCCAGGCGGGAGGGACCCCTGCCAGCGGCCCCTGGATCCAAGAAGAAGGGTGGGGTCCTGGCTGAGGAAGAAGGGAGGGAGGGACGGTCGGAGGGAAAGAAGGTGAGGAGCAGGACGGCGGGGGGAGGGGCAGGGGCAGGGGCAGGGGCAGGGGGGCTGGAGGAGCAGACGTGGTCCCAGCCCTCGGTGCCCCCCAGGCCTTTCACTAGCTCCTGGAAGGTGGGGGTGGGGCAAGATGACAGCCGCAGGACCTTAGGCTCTGTCCACTAAGAGGGGACCCAGGGCCACAGCCCACAGTAGACCTCACTACACCCAAAGGGGGCTCAGCCAGGCCAAACAGGACGAAACATTCGCCCCTGGTCCCTGCCGCACTCCCACAGCCTGCGGCACCAGTTCTGGAATGGATTCCGAGAGGCTGGCCGCTGTGCCAGGGTGGCCTGGTCGCTGTGCCAGGCCGTCCTTTGCCTCAGAAAGGGCATGTATTTTTAGGCCGGCCACAGGGTGTTGGTTAAGTCTGCAACAAATGAGGCCCACAACTCCCAGGGACCAGCTCCCAAGGGGCAAAATCCATCAGGCAAGGATTGGGCCGGAGTGGGACGCACTCCCACCTGCGCTGAATGGCAGCCCAGGCACAGGTCAGCTCTGCCTGCTCCTTCCTGCTCAGCCCCTCTCACCCTGCCCAGCCTTCAGCCCCTTTCTGGCTACTTGGCAGGCAATGTCTAGACAGGGTCCCCGCCCCCCTCTCCTCAGCAGCCCAGTGCCTGTCAGTGGCCTCTTGAGGTCCCTACCAAGCCCCTGGGTATGGCGGGCAGAGCACAGGGAGGGTCCCCATTCACCAGCATGTTTACCGCATGCTCAGTGGGCACACAGGTGGGTGCCCCTGGTAGAGGGCACCTCCTGCCAGCCTGGCCCATGGCACACCATGCTGCCAGGGGCCTGAGCCGCCAGAGGTCTGAGCTGCTTGGGGTGTGCTCAGCTCCTCACCCAAGCCTCCCTGGGGCAGGCTCCCCCTCCAGAGCCCCACACCCACCCCTTGGAAGACAACAGCAAGGATGCCTCCTTCCCGAAGCCTCACCCCGGCCCGGGCACACCATTGCATCATCCCTGGAGTTTGCACTGCCCACAGGCCTGCACGCCCAGGAGCCCCGCCAGGCAGCTGGTAGCATTCTCTACATGCAGACAGAGGCTGAGGGCCAGAGACGTGCTATCATGACCCCGGTTACCCGGGAAGGCCTGAGCTGTCTGCTGCCAGCACTGGGCTCTTTCCAAGGCGTGCAGGGCCTCTGGAGAAGAGGCGTCTCCTCACACCAGCAGGGCTTCCCTTCTTCTCCTTGGAATCCTGGCCTGCCCCACCTATTCCCCTGTCCTGGCTCCAGCTGCTTCCGCCCTTGTTCCCTTTGGCCTCCCAGGCACCTCTCTTGCCCGCAGGCAGCCTGCCTAGCTTCTCCCGGCCACAGCGCTTTCCGTGGATCGCCATGACAGCATACATCTTCCCTACACACAGGTGACGCTGGGCTGAGGTCCTCCCAGGCAGGGCAGGGTTCCCCACTCCCCTTGGTATGCATGGGACTTTTAACATTGAAAGTCTCCCCCGCCCCCGGGAAGCCAGGATGGAGTCACCCCAGCAAAGAACACATCACATTCGCCCTGGCATGCAGGGCCACGCTGACAGCAGGCACTCGCTGAAAGTGCAGGGGTCTCTGACGGTCTGCAGACCCACGTGCCCCCTGAGAAGCAGGTGGGCGGCCTCTCTCAACAGGGCTCAGAGCACTTGAGTTAAGCCTGTGGACAGCGCGGTAAAAGAGCATCAGTCCAGATGGTCTGTGCTGACGCGCAATCTGTGAAGGATGACCGCCCGCAGCCCCGGGCCTCTCGGACCCGCGCTCAGTACTGGCCCTAGTCGCTCCCGCAGCGGCCGAGACCGCGGAGGCCGCTGGGGCGGGGCCGGTGCTCATTAGCATAATATATGCGAGGGGGCGTTTAGCAGTCAAATATATGCGCATATATCTCCATGGCTGATGAGCTGGCCGGGCACTTTCAAAATGGCGGAGAGTGGAGCAAGCGGCAGCGGGAGCAGCGGGGACAGCCTGGACAAGAGCATCACGCTGCCTCCCGACGAGATCTTCCGCAACCTGGAGAACGCCAAGCGCTTCGCCATCGACATAGGTAGCCGCAGGCCCGGTGCCGGGCGCGGGCCGCGGGAGCGGGCGGGGCGCCGGCGGCCGGCCAGCGAGCGGGGGCGGCGGGAAGGACGAAGGGCGGGGGCGCGGGCCTGACGCACAGCCCCACGGGCCTTGTAGTCCGTGGGCCCCGCGCACAGCCTCACGGGCCTTGTAGTCCGCGGAGGCGCCGGTGCGCGGGTTCGAGGTGAGGGCCGGACTACAGCTCCCGGCAGGCGCCGCGCGGACCAGAGCGGGGCATGCCGGGCCTGGTAGTTCGCGCGGCCGTCCTGGGAGGTTGGGGGGCCAGGGTCCAGCGTTACCCGCCGCGAGGTGGGAGGGTCGCTGGCCAGCCGGGCCCTGAAGAACGTGGAGGGTTATGTCTTCGGCCGCATCAGCAGCTGGGCGTCCAGGTCTCGCCGCTTGGCCACTGGCCCGCCTGAGATTTAGGGTCCTCAGTTCTGATGGAGAGGACGAGGAGCCGGACGGGAAGCCCTTGGCAGAGAGTGGCCCCGAAAAGGCCGCGCGTTCCCAAGGCCTGGCCAGTTGTGGCCCGCGAGCCGGACAGTCCGTGCACAGGCCCCGCTCTCTGGAGAGTGGACACCAGGCGTGAGTGCAGGCGGCCATGGGACTTGGGAACTCGTGCTTGTGGCTTAAAAGCCGCTCGTGCCTTCCGTGGTCTTCAAGGCGGCCTGCACTTCTGCCCTGGCCTCTCCAGGGTCCGCTGCAGACCCTCATGCTCTCAGTAATGACGGCGTTCCAGGCCCTGTTCTAGACCTTCCCAAGTTCCTGACTCCCGGACACCTCCCAGCCACCCCTAGAGCAGGAACGCGAGTTACCCCCATTTCGCAGATAAGGATACTAAGGCCCGGAAAGGTGAACTACTTTGCCCAGGGTCATCCGGCTGGAAAGTGGCAGAATCTAGAAAGACCTGAACCAGCCAACCCCTGCTCTCCTACTCTACCCATGTTTCAGGCATGAGGGCTTCCCGGGGGCAGCTTCACCAGGAGAAACCAGCCTTGAATAGCCACTGCGGCTTCGCATACCTCTCCCTCTTGGCACTCGGTTCAGCTGTAGGCTCAGTCTGCTTGTGTGTGAATTCCCCGAGGGCCGGGGTGTGTCTGTTGTCTTGTAGCCCAGCCCCAGAAAGGGTGCCGGACCTGTCTTAGGTCCCCAGTAAATACTGTAATGAACGGGTCTGCTGCTGACTGCCTCCCACCTCCCTGGGAAGGTCGGCGTTCAGGCCCAGCCCACTTCCTCTAAGCCATGTGCTCCTGGCGCATCCCACGTGTTTGCTGCTGTGGTACCCTCGGGGTCGCTAGCGTCACCATCTCTCTGAGGTGTCCAGCCAGGGAAGGGTGTCTTGGGAAGTGGAGGCCGATGAGAATGGAAGCAGGTGTGAGTCCTGGCTCCCGCCTTGCAGTGAGCTTATGAGAGACGGTGCTTCTTAGGGTTTGTTTGAATGGCATCTTCGGGGACCCCTGCTGGGACTTGAGACTGAGTGGCTATCGGGCTTCTGGTGCTGAACTTGCAGGCCCCGCCCAGGGCATCTCCCGCAGGCCTCACCAGAGGCTCCGCAGCCTTCTGCGACCTTCAGGCCCGGGACAGCCTATGCTCTGAAAGGTTCTGCTGCCCTAACACTGAGGGACTCTGTTACTGGGAACAAGTCAGGTCGAAATGTTTCTGAAATGCAGTTGCAGTTGACCTGCCTAAGTCACTTGGGAATGGCCAGGAGAACAGGACTAAGCGTGGATGTTCTGTGTGGCCGGGAGAGGCCCCCGAAGCCGCAGAGCTGGGGCTGTGCAGGAACGGCCGTCGCAGCCCTGGCGGGCCCTGGAGCAGCAGTCTCTTCTCCAGGCTGAGCCCAGGGGCTTCTTGGTAGAAGGACTGAGGGACAGGTTTAGTGCTGGTGTTTATTTCCTTCTTTTGAAAGTTTCCCCCTGCGTCTGGGTCCTTTGTGCCCGTCCGGTTCTTATGAGGACGTGTTGACTGGTATGAGAGGAGACCTTTCGTTTGTTGATACTGACCGAGCCGAGGGAGGTCACGGCTCAGGGTGGGGTGTCTTCAGCCCAGGAGCCCTCAAAGCCAAAGTGCTTGTCAACAGTATTGTTTAAAACGGGCTTCTCCTGCTTCCTCTTCCTTACCCACGTCTCCAGATCCAGGAAAGCTCACCTGCCCTGCGTTCTTGGCAAGCTGCTTTCCTCTTGATGGTACTCTGACGTCTGCTGAGCAGATTCGCCTCTTTGAAAGCGGCAGGGACATTGTGCTTATCAAAACCTACCCGCAGCTTTGATCTGATTGTAGGTTTCTGCGGGCTGTGGGGCAGGTTCCTCAGGGCCGTGTGGGACAGGAACGAGCCACAGGGCAGTGGTGTCTGCTGACTGTCCTGCTCTCCACTGGTGCCCAAAGAGGAAAGACAGGAGCAGAGAGGCTGGCAGAGGGCACGGGGCCTGTGGGACAGGGAGAACGAGAAGGGCTTCGGCTCAAGCATGAAGAGCAGAGGTGAGCCAACGTCGGGTCACCCCCCCCACCCACCAGCCAGGCGATGCTGCTGGCCCAAGGTGGAGTGTGGGCAGCCTGGAGAGCCACCGGGGCAAGCCTTGTCACTGCCTTGCCACGTGTGGTCTGCTGTGATTCCAGGGGGTCCCTGAGTTCAGCCCAGGAGGCTTCCCACCCACAGGCCCCCTCTGCTCTGTGAGACCTCCCTGCTCCGCTCTAACAGAGCGCCTGGCGCTCAGGCTCCATTCTGTTCCCTCCTGGGTGTGGGGGTTCAGAGGGTGGAACGCTGGCCTTGCTGGGCTTCTCAGTGCTGTCTCTGGGAGGGAGGCTGCATGTCTTGCAAAAACCAGCTCACCCCTTACCGCTGTCTCAACCCCAGTGCGTCCTGTTTTGGGTGTGCTTAACACAAAGAACACAGGTCCTGAAATGGGATTTCTGTGACCTGCGAGTTTGTTTATAGTGACTTCTCATGAGTGTCTTAAAATAGGTCTTCATCCTCTGGCATCATCTGTGGTTTTAGAGAACGGTTTATTTACCGAGGTGAGCTGACAACAGTTTGCGTGAGACTCATGCGGCTGGGCCGGGAGTGGGGGCAGGACGAGGGATAAGGAGGCTTCAAGCCACGGGCCAGGGGATCCGATGGAGCCTGCTACGCGTCCACTAGACTGCACACGGGCTCAGGGAGCCCGCCCCAGGCGGGCAGGCAGTGCCGTGCGGCTGGACACGGTGGTTTTTGTTCCGTGAACAGCGCTGGCTGTTCCTTCGTGTTTCCAAGCCCACGTACTGATTGACTGTTTGTTCGCAGACATCCTGGTAGGAGTTTGTCGAAAAACAATCACTGGAAAATAGTTTCAGCGTCCTCACTCGCCGTGCCGGGTTCTGGCTCTTTTCGTCAGGCCCCGGGAGAAGCGCGCCGTGTTCGGGACTCTGCAGTACCAGGCCTTTTGTTTCTTTTTCTGTTCATCGTTCATGGACCTCCAAAGCTATGAGTAAAACTGTAGCCTCAAAAATGGCCTCTTTTGGGGGCCAGACACGTTGGCTCACACCTGTAATACCAGCACTTTGGGAGGCCGAGGCAGGCGGATCACAAGGTCAGGAGTTTGAGACCAGTGTGACCAACATGGTGAAACCCCGTCTCTACTAAAAACACAAAAATCAACCAGCATGGCACATACCTGTCATCCCAGCTACTCAGGAGGCTGAGGCAGGAAGTGCTTGACCCCGGGAGGCGGAGGTTGTAGTGAGCCAAGATCGCGCCACTGCACACCAGACTGGGTGACAGAGTGAGACTCCATCTCAAAAAAAAAAAAAAAAAAAAAAAAAAAAAAAAAAAAAATGCCCTTTTTTTTCAAACTGAGAAGAGTTTGTCCTTGAAGCAAGGTCTTTTCAGGCCATTTCCCTGAAACGTGGTTCAGGTGTGAAGGGTCCTTCCATTTCCTGACGCTTACTCAACCTTCCATCACAGGCAGCATCCTAGAAGCCACAGGTCTTCATCAAAGGGAGCTTGGCCTGCGAGGAAGGAGATTTTGGTGGCCTCTGACTTCCTCTGGCTGCTTTTGGGGCTGGGGTTGCGTCTTCTGCCCAGAGCCTCGGGAGAGGAGGGAGCCTTGCGTGGTGCCACTGTACCAGCGGTCCTGTTTGCCGCTCGGGGAGGGGGCTGCTCAGGCCGGTTTGCGTCTGAAAATGAAAACAGCTTCGGGTCATTAGCAAGATCGCTGGAAGGAGAATTGTCTTAAACCAGTGAGAAGAGCCAAGGCCACCCAAAACCAGGCAGCTCTTTCTTCGGCAGGACTCAGCGCTGTGAGGAAGTGGGACCTTGTGAGCTCAGTTTGGTCAGGGACCTGAGGAGGAACAGAATCTGGAAGAGAAAAGTGTGGATTTGATCGTTCGTTCTCCTTCCTCTCTTCTGTGCCCACGGGTTTTTAAGTTGGAGTAGAGCCCGACCCCTCATCCAGAGATCTTAGCTCCAGGGCACCGGGAGCCCGTGGGGGATGGACACGCGGGCCCCCTCCGTCCCCGCCCTGAGTCCTGCCTGCTGTGTCTCCCCTTGCAGGCGGGTCGCTCACCAAGCTGGCCTACTACTCCACCGTGCAGCACAAAGTGGCCAAAGTGCGCTCTTTCGACCACTCAGGAAAGGTGAGCCTGTGCCGTGGCCGCCAGGGGACAGGCTGGGCGCGCCCGAGGCCGGGGGCGGGGCTGCTTCTCTGTGGGCCCCGCACTTGTTACTCAGTCACCCCGCCGCCGCCGCCGCCCCCGCCGACCTCGGCTTCAGGGTCCTGGGAGTTTCTAGCACAGACAGCCTCCCCTGCCATCCACCACGTCCCTCCAAGGCCCTTTGCAGAGCCTGTGCCTGCTCCGCCTGGGGAAGGCTTCTGCTCCCGCCGGGTGGCCCTGAGGTCTCCATCCTGGGCTCCTCCCTCTTGCCCAGAATTCTGCCTCAGAGCCCCCCCTGGTTGAAGGTTGGCACGAACGGCCAGCACCGCCAGGGCAGGGTGCGCACGGCTCAGCCCGGCGCGGTGCCCACACCCACGAGGCCTCCCCTGCTCTGCTTTCTAGGACACAGAACGTGATCATGAGCCGCCCTATGAGATTTCGGTTCAAGAAGAGATCACAGCTCGGCTGCACTTCATTAAGTTTGAGAATACCTACATTGAAGCCTGCCTGGACTTCATCAAAGACCACCTGGTCAACACAGAGACCAAGGTGATCCAGGCCACCGGGGGCGGGGCCTACAAGTTCAAGGACCTCATCGAAGAGAAGCTGCGGCTGAAGTGAGTGGGGACCCCGAGGGCCGGGAGGGAGTGTGCGGCTGCCCCTGAGTCCCTGGGCGTCCCGGAGCCATGTCCCTGGCGCTCGTGTGTTAGATGGTATGTGAGGCCCAGCCACCCCTGTGGACCGGGCAGGCTCCTGTGGTCGCTCCCTTCTGTGGCCTGGACTCTTGAGGGGGTCGGCACTTCCCTTTCAGAGTCGACAAGGAGGACGTGATGACCTGCCTGATTAAGGGCTGCAACTTCGTGCTCAAGAACATCCCCCACGAGGCCTTCGTGTATCAGAAGGATGCCGACCCTGAGTTCCGGTTCCAGACCAACCACCCCCACATCTTCCCCTATCTTCTCGTCAATATCGGCTCTGGAGTCTCTATCGTGAAGGTGAGACCCGGCTTTATGAAGGGTATGAGTGGATGGTTCAGCCACAGATTGTGAAGTGCTTGCCATGTGCAGGAGCCAGGGCCGGGCAATGGGGGCGAGGCCGTGAGCCTGGAGCCACTGTCGGAGGGGCATCAGCACCCCAGGCTTGGCCTCCAAGAGCATCCTGCCTCTGGTGGTCCTCAGGGTGGGAGTGGGATGCCCCTGAGCACAGCACATGAGGGAACCTGCCTGGCTGAGGACCGGCTGTGACGCGCCCGCCCTGGCTTTGCCGCAGGTGGAGACAGAGGACAGGTTCGAGTGGGTTGGCGGCAGCTCCATCGGAGGCGGCACGTTCTGGGGGCTCGGGGCTTTGCTCACCAAAACCAAGGTACGCAGCAGCCGCCACAAGTACTCGGGGGTCTGTGGGAATGTCCACGTCCTGTTCCTCCAGGGCTGCCTGCTGGGGGGGTGCAAAAGCTGCTTCCCAGCCTCCCTTCCACGTGCGTCCCTGGGTCTCGGGCCTCCATGGCACCGCCCTGAAGCACGGGTGTCCCAGCGGTCAGAGCCTCTCCTGGCTGGGTGGCCCTCTGGTTCCGCTTTTCTCCTGCCTCTGGTTCTGCGTGTTGAGGGCCCATTCGCCCCCTACCCACCCGTGCCTCTTCCTGCGGCCTTAGCGTCCGGGCCCTCCCCGCCCCTCACTGTGTCCCACAGAAGTTTGATGAGCTGCTGCACCTGGCTTCGAGGGGCCAGCACAGCAATGTGGACATGCTGGTGCAAGACGTCTACGGCGGCGCCCACCAGACGCTCGGGCTGAGCGGGAACCTCATCGCCAGCAGCTTCGGGAAGTCAGCCACTGCCGACCGAGGTACCCGCCCAGCCACTGCCGCCAGCGGGCAGGGCGACGGGCACACTTGGGGTCTCGTGGAGGCGGAGCTTCCCCTGCCATCACTTTCCCACACCTGCTCCCTGGAGAGTCAGCCTCGTGCTCAGAACGTCAGGGAATAACCACTGTCTTGGTTTTAGAAGAAAGAACGGTTCCTACGAGTGAGGAAAAGCAGTTTGGTGTTTTTACCCTCCTTGAAAACAAAGTCTAACCAGTCCAGGAATGATTCAGGCATCACACGCAGCCTCCCTCGCGCTGGCTCCGCTTCTCCCACTCAGCTCTCCCTCCCCCACCCCACCCCTGCCCACTCTCACATCGCGCAGGGGGCAGTGCAGGCGCTGTTTCTGAGGCCCAGAGGCCACCTGGGTGCCATGCTGGGAGTCGAGCACCCTTTGCTTTCCTTCTCCTCAGAGTTCTCCAAAGAAGATATGGCCAAGAGCCTGCTGCACATGATCAGCAACGACATCGGACAGCTGGCCTGCCTCCACGCGCGGCTGCACAGCCTGGACCGCGTGTACTTCGGGGGCTTCTTCATCCGGGGCCACCCCGTGACCATGCGCACCATCACCTACAGCATCAACTTCTTCTCCAAGGTAAAGGCCACTGCGCCTCCCTGGCCTCCAGCACAGACCCCGGGGTTTCACAATGGGAGCCGTGCTGATCAGACGCTGCAGGAGGCCCAGGGAGGCCCCGAGGCGAGTGGCTGAGAAGCCTAGCGCCCCTCCCTTCTGGCCGATTCTGGGAAGCCTGGGTTTTGAGGCACTACGGCCACCTGAGCCTGAGCGCATCAACAGTGACGAGCATTCTCGAGAGAGACGTGCCCGCCCACGCGCCTGAGGCAGAGACTTGTTAGACGGGCAGAAGCTCTCTCACCCTTAGCGTTTTTTTTTTTTTTTTTTTTTGAGACGGAGTTTCGTTCTTGTTACCCAGGCTGGAGTGCAATGGCGCGATCTCGACTCACCACAACCTCCGCCTCCTGGGTTCAAGCAATTCTCCTGCCTCAGCCTCCTGAGCAGCTGGGATTACAGGCACGCGCCACCACACCCAGCTAATTTTTGTATTTTTAATAGAGATGGGGTTTCACCATGTTGACCAGAATGATCTCTTGACCTCGTGATCCACCCGACTTGGCCTCCCAAAGTGCTGGGATTACAGGCGTGAGCCATCGCGTCCCACACCCTTAGCGTTCTTTAAACAGCAGCCTGTCCTGTGGCGTCAGGTGCGCTTCCACTGGCAGGTGCGCCGTGGACGCCTCTTCAGGGGGCCTGGGCTGCCCAGCGCGAGCCCCGCGCGTGTTGAACAGGGTTGCAGAGGTCCTGGGTGCTGTGTGGGCCAACAGCAGCCCGTGTGCTCTGGCCGCGGCAGGGGGAAGTGCAGGCGCTGTTTCTGAGGCACGAAGGCTACCTGGGAGCCATCGGAGCGTTCCTGAAAGGAGCTGAGCAGGACAGTGAGTAGCGGCGCGGGGCTTGGGGACACGGCCTGGGCGGCCCAGGCGGAGGTGGGGTGGGCAGTGTGAGTCCTCAGAAGGTGACCACAGCGGCCGTTTCTAACGTTGTAACGGTTTAGTTAATAGGCGATTTCATGCCCTTCTTCCTCCACTCCTGCTTTTGAATCAAGGGCAAGGTTAACACAGGCGGCCTGGCCTTCTGCTTTCCAGATCCTAACCAGTACAGCTGGGGCGAGAACTACGCAGGCAGCTCCGGGCTGATGAGCACGTCGCCTGAGCTGGGCCCCGCGCAGCGGGCGCGGAGTGGCACCGTAAGTAGCAGGCTCCGGGCGCCCCGGGCCCCGAGGGAGTGGCCTGGGACGGACTCGCCTCCCTTGTTCCCAGGAGAAGCCCCTCGTGGCTGTCTCTGCTGAAAGGCGCCTCTGCCCGTGGTCCTGGGGCGTGGTGGGGTAGAACGACACTACCGCCTGCTTTCCTCCCCCTCCTTGGGGCCTTTCGTATTTGGGAAACCTCCAGCAGGAACTTTAAAACCAGTAGTCTGGCCGTCTTCCAGAGAGGCTGCTAAAGTTCAGGGGTGCCGGGGGCCTCCTCAGGGGTGCCAGGGGCCTCAGGGGCGCCGGCGCCTGTGCACTTTGGGGTTGAAGCCCAGAGTCACAGGAGCACCCCCGGACCTCTGCCCCAGGCCCGCGCACTCTGGCTGACGGTCCAGTGGTGAGAGTCTGCTCTCTCGGAGTGCCTGGGCTCATTCCTCAGATCCCCGGTGGGTTTGCCTGGCCTGAGCTGGGTAGTACTGGTAGGCTAGGAGACACAAGCTATCTGGGCCCTCAACCGTGCCCCTGGGGGGGCATTCCTTCTGTAGCTGGGAGCAGTCACCCGAGGTCACGCACAGAGCTAGTTGGACCCCTCAGGACAGGCCCCTGGATCGTGGATGGGAAGTTGCTTTTCATTTGTGGATGCAGGGTCCCTTACAAGTCTGCGTCCGTGTTTTCAGGACCCAGCCTGCTTGGGTTCTGGCTTCTCAGGAGGGCGCCTCTCTTGCGTGTGGGTCCTGCTGTTCACCCCGGGCAGTGGCTCCGCCAGATGTGCCGCACTGGCCGCAGCCCGCTCTGTGTTTCCCACGGCCAGCACTTGGCAGGGGAGTGGGGGCAGGGTCCCGGGGCCTGGCAGAACCCCAGGCTCTCAGCTTCTGCTGGGGCGTTGGGCAGAGGGATTCCCTGTCTTCCAGCCTCAGTTTCTGATTTGCCAAATGTCCTAGACCGTAACCCCGTCTTTATTAAAAATACAAAAATTAACTGGGCATGGTGGCACGTACCTGTAGTCCCAGCTGCTCAGGAGGCTGAGGCAGGAGAACTGCTTGAACCCAGGAGGCGGAGGTTGTGGTGAGCCTGCCTCGGGGGCCCAGTTCAGCACTTTTACCTGTTTGGCGCCCCCACCAGCAGCACAGCCCTGCCAGGCAGGAGGGCCCCACCTTACTGAGGATCAGACTGGCATACGGAGGGATGGAGTCATTTCTTAGGGTTTATATCGTCCAAAAAAGGCAAAGCGAAGATTCGCACCCCATTTGTAAGGGCAGAAGGCGCCTGGGACCTGGCAGGGCAGCACCGGGCGGTCCCCACTCAGCTAGCAGTAGTTAACGCGGGGCCCTGCCAGCTTCTGCGCTGGCTGTGGGACGTCCCTGGTTTTTCCATCCTGGAAGGCGTCGTCCTCACCACAGAGCTCCTTGCCCGGAATTGCCTGCTCACCTGATGGCTGCTTCTCCAGCCCCAGGAGTTGCCTCGTGGTGTCCCAGTGGAGAAGGGCTAAGGCCCTGCGTGGGACCTGTGAGGAAGCCACTGGAAGGTGGCAGGAGGTGGCCACCTGCACAGTTCCCCCCCCACAGCCCCTCTGGCCCCAGAGCAGCGGCTGCAGGGTCAGCGTGCAGAGGGCCAAGTACTGGTGTGTGCGTCGGCTCGGCTCTGTTCGGCTCCTCCCAGCGTAAGGTGGAAAGAGCCAGTGGGGCCCTTGAGCGCCCCTGTGCTGGGTGCAGGTGGCCCCAGAGTGTGCTGGGCGCATAGGGGCCCAGCCTCGCCGTAACCCTTTGCAAACAGAACGTGCTTGGAGTCGGGGCAGCCGTGGAGAAAGGAGGGGTGCATGTGGGGGGTACGGGCTGCCCGCCCAGCATTTAGTGAGGACAACACACCAGAGCTCAGTGTGCAGACACAGCCACCTGGAGGACCAGAGGTGGGAACAGCATGGCTGCAGGGGTGACGGGGAGGGGTGGCTGCAGGGGTGACGGGGAGGGGTGGCTGCAGGGGTGATGGGAGAGGGGGGTGGCTGCAGGAGTAATGGGGGAGGGGTGGCCGCAGGGGTGATGGGGAGGGAGTGGCCGCAGGGGTGATGGGGAGGGAGTGGCCGCTGGGGTGATGGGGGAGGGGTGGCCGCAGGGGTGATGGGGAGGGAGTGGCCGCTGGGGTGATGGGGGAGGGGTGGCTGCAGGGGTGATGGGGAGAGGTACCTGCAGGGGTGTCGGGGAAGGGTGGCTGCAGGGAGGTGTGATGGGAAGGGGGTTACTGTGGGGATGGTGGGGGAGGGGTAACTGCAGAGGGAGGCGATAGGGGTTACATAGAGGTGGCTGGGGAGGGACGATGGGGAGGTGGGCTGCAGAGGGGAGGTGATGGGGGAGGGCTAACTGTAGGAGTGGAGGAGGGGTGGCTGCAGGGAGGGTGATGGGGGCAGGAGGCTATGTGGTGGGAGCAGACCCAACCCCAAGGTCAAACCAAGGGGTAAGTCAAAGCATCTGGCTCAGACCACCGGGCAGCGAGGGCGGTGCCCGCGGTGGGGGCCAGGCGGAGGTCTTAATCTGTGGCCAAGACGTGGTGGAAGAAGGCGGCACCTCCCCTTCCTCCTTAGAGAGTGGAAGCTTCTGAGCGTGGCTTAGGTCTTTCTGAACCGTGGTGACGTTTCCACCCTGCCGCTGCCTGTCTTCCCAGTTTGACTTGCTGGAAATGGACCGGCTGGAGAGGCCGCTGGTCAACCTGCCACTCCTCCTGGACCCGCCGTCCTATGTGCCCGACACGGTGGACCTCACGGACGACGCTCTGGCCCGAAAATACTGGCTCACCTGCTTCGAGGAGGCCCTGGATGGGGTGAGCGCTCTGGCCGCCGTCTGCAGACAGCTCCGCGGCCACGGCTGACGTTAACCTTCCCAGGCCCCCGGGGCCAAACCGGCGTGGTGAAGGGGCACAGGCCAGAGTATGCCAGAAGTCCCCTGACCTGCGTTTGAGTGTGAGAGCGGCGACCCCGCTCCTCGTCACTTGGTGGGTCAGTTAGGACGAGATGACTTCTAGGGACAGCGGCTGCTTTTGCCGCTATCACATTTCTTCAAAAAGCCGGCAGTTTAGTAGACTCTTCTGCTCTTCTGAGCTGTGACTGAGGCGCAGGGAGGATTGGGGGACCCTGACTCTGAGGGTGGGGCGGGTCCCCCTCCAGCCCGCATGAGCTCCTGGTGAGGCGACCCTGGCTCCTGCTGCCCACCTTCTCCAAAGCTGGGGTGGGCCTGGGTGGCACATGCCAGGCCCTGGGCCACGCTGCCCCTTGGGAGCTCAGCTCCGGTGGGCTTGGCTGCTTCAGCTCGGGCCAGGGAGCCCTGGTAGCAGCATGCCCCCTTCATGAAACCCTCGGAGAGGCCAGATCCTGCTGCGGCGTGTCCTGAGGGAGGAGTCGCAGCCCTGCCAAGGACCCAGAGTGAGCTCTGAGCGTCCAGAACTTCCTGTCCCTGGCACAGGGAGGACATGGGTCTCAACCTGGGGTTTCCTGAGTACGGAGGGGCCGGGGTCATTCTTGCTGCTGCCTCCCAGAGCATCTGGGAGGGACAGATGGCAAAGGGAGGCCCCAGGGGACTGTGAACTGTCACCCTCAGCCTTTCCTGTTCCAGGAGGAGCTGCCTTGACCACAGCTTGGACAACCCCCCATGGCCAGCCCCTGTCCTGCCCCGGGCTAGCCCCCCACAGCCGGCCCCCACCCTGCCCTGGGCAGTCCCCCACAGCCGGCCGCCACCCTACCCTGAGCCTCCTACAGCCGGCCCCCACCCTACCCTGAGCCCCCCAGAGCCAGCCCCCACCCTGCCCTGGGCAGCCACGCACAGCCAGCCGCCACCCTGCCCTGAGCCCCCCACAGCTGTCCCCCACCCTGCCCTGAGCCCCCCACAGCTGTCCCCCACCCTGCCCTGAGCCCCCCACAGCTGTCCCCCACCCTGCCCTGAGCCCCCCACAGCTGGCCCACACTGCCCTGGGTAGGCTCCTGCAGCTGGCCCCCACCCTCCCCCAGGCCTCCTGCTGTCATGTGTGGGGACTTCCCGAACAGCAGGGCCAGCGCTTGGCTGACCCCTCCTCCCGTTGCTGCCAGGTAGTGAAGCGTGCAGTGGCGAGCCAGCCGGATTCCATGGATGCAGCCGAGAGGGCAGAGAAGTTCCGGCAGAAGTACTGGAACAAGTTGCAGACCCTGAGACAGCAGCCCTTGTAAGTGTCAGGCGTCCTGCTGCGTGACCGCCTCTCCTGCTGAGAGGGCCCCTGCACCTCGAAGAACGTGCCGTGGTATTGGCGTTCTGACCTGGGCTGGCTCGGGGGTGGCAGTGGGCCCAATGGCACAGTCCCTTCGGGCCGCACCTCAGGCGGCGTTGGCACTGCCAGAAAGGCCTGGCTCAGAGGGCTCCCACCACCCCGAGGCTGTCTGTGGCACCACTGAGGATGTGCAGACGGGCAGGTGATCGGCCACCAGCCAAGCCTGCCCTGCTCAGCACCTTCTGCCACATCTGTCCCTAGTGCCTACGGGACCCTGACTGTGCGCAGCCTGCTGGACACCAGGGAGCACTGTCTGAACGAGTTCAGCTTCCCCGACCCCTACTCCAAAGTAAGTGCAGTGTGCCCAGGCCTGCCTCGCGCCCCTGTGCCTGTCCCGCTGTGCCTCCCGTCCCATCCCCACCCTGGCTCCAGATGTCCCGTCCTGTCCTGCTAGTGCCACATGTCCTGTCACATCTCTGTCCTGTCTCTGTCTCCGTCCTGCTGGCTCAGGGTGTCCTGTCTATGAGGCTGCACAGGCGTGGTCGTGGCCCGACTCTGGCACTGACTCCACACTAGCAGGGGCCTCTGTTGGCAACATCTGCTGAGTAACTGTGTTGGGAGCTGCCCTGGTGACCCCACGGATGTTAGGGCCAATTAGGGACAGGGACCGCCATGACAGGGGAGAGAAGAGGGGTGACGGGAGGAGAGGAGAGTGTGAGCGCTGTTTGGGCGTGTTTACCTGAGAGAGGCCACCTCCCTGCGGGACCTAAGGGCCTCCCAGCATCTGTGAGGGTGGGGGACTGTGGTTGGGGACTGCCTGCTCCTCATGGGCAGGGGCTGGACCTCTGGGCCACCCTTGCCCCCTCCTAGAAGGTTGGACAGTGCCTGGAGGCCTCCTGTCACAACAACGTGCGGGGCAGTGGGAGTCCTCTGAGCCAGGCCTTTCCAGGTATCTGTCTTGCTTCCCCAAGTCTGGCGGCCACAGCCCTCCTCGGCCCCTTCTGCTAGGAGGCAGTGGTGGCAGCAGTCTGGGCCCCTCCCAACCCCTTCCAGAGGGGCCAGCACCACACCCTCCTCTCCTCACCTCCCCTCAAGCACCAGCCTCGTGACCGGGGAAGTCTGGGTTTCAGGGGTTTGGAGGCTAGGGCTGTGGGCACCTGTGGGGCCATGTGGCCATTGCTGTGTCCCGTGGGGGGCTGAAGCTGTCCTGGGCTTTATCCTCAGAGTCCCATGCAGCTGCGCGCTGGCTGCAGCTCCTGGGCGCCCCAGATGCTGTGCCTGGTGGTATCCTGCTGGGGCCTGAGCCCACGCTCTTAGGGGGTTGATGTGGAATGGGCTGGTCCAGGATGGCGCTCTGCTGGGGACCTGGAGGGGCCTGGCAGAGAGCAGGGGGCAGCTCGCCCCACGGGTGAGGCCGCGTGTCCACTCAGGCCTGGTGTCTGGCGCCCTCCGCAGGTCAAACAGCGGGAGAACGGCGTGGCGCTGCGCTGCTTCCCCGGGGTCGTGCGCTCCCTGGACGCCCTGGGCTGGGAGGAGCGGCAGCTGGCACTGGTGAAAGGCCTCCTGGCAGGGAACGTCTTCGACTGGGGGGCCAAAGCTGTGTCTGAGTAGGTATCCGTGGGCTCAGGGCGGGCTCTGCAGCCTGTGGGTCCCTGTCCTGCCCCAGGCTCTCGTTGGAGGAGGCGGAGTGGGTCCCTTGGTGGTCGTGTGGCACTTGGTGGCTCGGGGCTTTGGGGCCCAGGGAGTGCACACGCAGCCGCCCCTGGGGCCGTGCCCGTGTCTGTCCCACCGGAGGCGCCTGCCTTAAGCACACACCTGGAGGCCTAGGAGTGTGGGTTCGAAATTCGGGACTGATGTTTTCTTTCTTTTTTTTTTGAGGCAGAATCTTGCTCTGTCGCCCAGGCTGGAGTGCAGTGGCGCTGTCTCGGCTCACTATACCCTCCACCTCCCGTGTTCAGGCGATTCTCCTGCCTCAGCCTCCCAAGTAGCTGGGATTACAGATGTGCGCCACCACGCCTGGCTAGTTTTTGTATTGTTATTAGAGATGGGAGTTTACCATGTTGGCCAGGCTGGTCTTGAACTCCTGGCCTCAAGTGATCTGCCCGCCTTGGCCTCCCAAAGTCCTGGGATTCCAGGCGTGAGCCACCGCGCCTGGCAGGGGCTGACATTTTCTGCTGTCACGATCCAAATTCGTGTTTCCTGCGTGTGGTAGGAATAAGAGCTTCCTGCTGTGGTGTTCGGAGGGTGCTCTGCAGAGGCGTTCCCGAGACTGGCCTGTGGGGCAGGCCCTTTTCTCCAGCACGTGGCGCCGTCTCCTGGGTTTGGAGTCTTGGCAATGGCCCATTCCCACAGCCATTTGCCTTCACTCCTGAAGCAGCTGCTTCCAGGCCTTGGGCCTCCCCGGGCAGCCGCACCACCTCTCGTGGCCCCTGCGTTTGCATGTGTGGCTGGGGGAGAGACGCCCGGGTTCCCCGCCTTCCCTGGGTCCCACTCGTGTCTTCACATGTGGACGTCAGAGCGCCGCCCCCATCATGGCTGCCTCTCTGGGACACAGGCCCCTCCCGAAGCACATGAGGGGTGGTCCTGACCTGCGGGCTTGGCTTTGTGGCTGGGGGCTCCTCACCCCGCCTGCGTGGGTGCCGGGCACCAAGCACACCGACACGCTTCCCTGGCCCCATGGCTCTGGGTCCACTTTGAGAAACACCTTTCCTTGGCAGCCCTGAGCCCCCGCTGATCGCCGTGCGTCAGGAACGCCGCGTCTGCTCTGCCTGGGAGCGCGTGGGGTCCCCGCGCTGGCACATGGGCGGAGGGTCATTTTGTTTTCTCAGCTCTCTTTTCTTCTCCATGCAGTGTCCTTGAGTCCGACCCCCACTTTGGGTTTGAAGAGGCGAAGAGGAAGTTGCAAGGTACGGATGCCTGCGGCTCACGGCTCTGTCACTTGGGCTCGGGGGAGGGGAGACCTTGCTTCCTGGAGAGACAGACACCTGAAGATGCGTCTCCCTGACCCCTGACCCCTGACCTGGAGCACCGGGCTAATCTTGTGTCCCTCTCTCTCTCAGAAAGACCCTGGCTTGTGGATTCCTACAGCAGGTGGCTTCAGAGATTGAAGGTGCGTTGGGGGGCCTCCCGCCTCTGCCCCTGCGGACAGTGTGGGGCCCGGGGGGGCAGTCACTGGACGGAAGTGGACGTGGGCTGCCCCGCGTGGCCCTCCCCGCCTGTTAGAGTCTCACAGTCCCTCGAGCCAAGGGTCTTAGTGTCCTCTGGTCCGCTCTTGCCCTCCTGGCATGGCCGCTTCTGAGGTCACCCGCGCTAAGCACAAAGCCCGCTGGCAGAGACACACACTGCCCCTGCAGGCCAGCCTGTCCTGGCATCTGCAGAGCCCGGAAGCCCCTGGTCCCAGGCCCTGTGGGGCAGCTCGGCGGGCAGCGGGCGGCGGGGCGGGGTCTGACTGGCTCAGCGGGCGGCGGGCGGCGGGCAGTGGGCGGAGTCTGACTGGCTCAGCGGGCGGCGGGCAGCGGGCGGGGTCTGACCGGCTCGGCTGCACCTGTCCCCAACTGAACGTCCTGGTTTTGTCTTACAGGGGCCCCCTCATAAATGTGCCTTAATTTTCGCAGATAACAGTGGAATAGACATCATTTTGGGAGTCTTCCCCTTTGTCAGGGAGCTACTCCTTAGAGGGACGGAGGTGAGTGGCGAGGTGCTGGGGTGGGGCCCTTCCCCTGGGCTTCTCTGCTCTTGGTGGGCTTGGCGCCGCTGTGGGCCTCTGGCCGCCGGGCTCCTCGGACCCAGCAGGTAGGTGCAGGAGGCAGCTCAGAGCCCTCCAGTGCTGGGAGGGTCCGTGTGCTGAAGCCCAGGGCTGACGCCAGGCCCCTGGAGGGCGCTCACAGCAGGGAGGCTCTGGGCTGTGCCACGATGCCGATCAGAGGCCGGTGGTTCCCAGGGGCAGGCTCGGCCCCTCGGCTCGGCTCCCTCAGAGGCCACAGAGCAGCAAGGTCAGGCAGGGTCCCCGCGCCTTAGTCGCAGATGGCTGGCCAGGCCCGCTGGGTACAGCACCCTCACCCTGCCCGGCCACTCGAGGGCTGCCGGTACGCAGGGGCCACGCTGGGCCGGCACAGAGTCCTAAAGAGCCCGGGCCCTCCCGCAGGTCATCCTGGCGTGCAACTCCGGCCCCGCCCTGAACGACGTGACCCACAGCGAGTCCCTCATCGTGGCCGAGCGCATCGCAGGCATGGACCCTGTCGTGCAGTGAGTGCTGGCGGCCAGTGCTGGGGGACCTTGAAGGGAGGGGCACCAGCTGGGCGGAGCGGGCCGTGGGGATCGTCACTGAATGGGGAGCTTCCTGGGGCCCCCGCTGGAGGCGCTCACTGCCTCGTGTCGTGTCGCAGCTCCGCGCTCCAGGAAGAGAGGCTGCTGCTGGTGCAGACGGGCTCGAGCTCCCCATGCCTCGACCTCAGGTAACCCCGCAGCCTGCGCCCCGCTCCCCCGCAACTCCATGCCCTCCGTGCCGTGCACCCAGGCACGGTCGGGATACCAGTGTCGGCCCTGCCCCTACTGCCTCTCCTGACCCCAGGCCTGCTTCGACCTCAGGAGGGGATGAAGATGCCATCCCCGAAGGTGGCCTGGGAGGGTGGATGGATTCAGGGGCTGAGGTGGCTCCACCTGGGCTGGGTTGGGGGACTTGAGGCAGGAGGGGCCGGTGTCCCTGTGGCCACTCAGCTGGGGCAACTGCGTAGACGCAGGCCCTGCTTCTGTGGTTCTGGGGGTCCTTAGTTGACGGCGTGTGGTGCTCTCTATCCTGACTGCAGAGGAGGAAACTACACCCCTTAAACGAGCAGGCTCTGAGTGCCAGGCCGCTGGACTGCTCTGCCCTGTGGGACTCTCCACTGCGGGCTTCACCTGTGCCCCAGCCCTACCCTCCCCAGCGGGGGGGACGGGGCAGCATGAAAATGCCGAGGAATCAGTCCCGAGAGTTCGTGGGGGATCTGGGGCAGAGTGTGCAGGAGCCGCTGCTCTGAGGGGGCTCCGGGCTGAGGCAGCACCAGACGGAGGCTGGGTTTGGAGGCGCCCACGTCAGGGAGTTGCAGGGTGGGGCTTCAGCCTTCACGCTGGTCGCTGCACTCTGTGGAAAGTGGGGTTTGGGGTCCCCTCACCCAGTCTCACTCTCCCCTTCCTCCTGGAAGCCGCCTGGATAAGGGGCTGGCCGCACTGGTGCGGGAGCGTGGCGCAGACCTGGTGGTCATCGAGGGCATGGGCCGTGCCGTCCACACCAACTACCACGCAGCCCTGCGCTGCGAGAGCCTCAAGCTGGCGGTCGTCAAGAACGCGTGGCTGGCTGAGCGGCTGGGCGGCCAGCTCTTCAGCGTCATCTTCAAGTACGAGGTCCCGGCCGAGTGAGGCGCCACAGCTGCGCGACCCTTCCGTTCGCCACTTGTCAGGAATGTGTTTTACCGCCACAGGGAGACTGCGTTCGAATCAACATATTTATATTGTACTGCTGGGACCTGGCACGCACCCCCAGCCTGAGGGGTGCGTGCGGCCTTGAGGCGAGGCCGTTTTGTCTTAGGGGACGTTCGTATTGGAATCTATTTAACTGCTAAAGACCTTTTATATATATATATATCTATATATATAAACAGAGATGTATACAGGTATGTCTGGCGGGACGCAGCGCCACGGGCACGCACCAAATAGAGTTTTTAAAAGAGGCCGCAGCCACCCATGCTGTTTTCTTTTGGAGCAGGGGCCCCTCCTGACCCTCCCATGGGGAAGCCCGGAGCGAGGCCCTTCCTGCAGCCGCTTCTAGAGCTCATGGGCAGGGAGCACCGGCCGCCCCGCTGACTCTCTGGCTCCAGGTCCTGCGTCTCACGGCTCCTTCCTGGCAGCCCAGGTCTCAGGTCCCGTGTCTCACCGCTCCCTCCTGACGCGAAGAGCCGACGTGGCGGCCTCATCCCTCCGGCACCCTCCCCCTGCACCGTCGTGATGTGTGGGTGCTCAGCCGCACTCCTGACTCGAGAGCCACGGGAAGGAGCCCTTGTCATCGATCGCCCTCAAGGGCTCTCGGCAGCCGGGCGCTGGTGCAGACCCAGTGAGGAACTGTGCAGAGTGCCTGGGTTTTGTTGCTGTGGCCTTGGGCCCAGGCTCCCCGGGGCCCTGTTCCGTGGCCAGGGTGGGCATAGTTGGGGGGAGCAGCAGGGAGACCCGCTGGGCCTGGCCTCTGGGAGCTACTAGGTGCCTGGGGATCCCTCCCAGTCCCCAGGCTTCCTGCTCAGCCCAGGTGTGGGGTTGAGGCTACACACAGCCATGTAGGGAGGGCAAGAACTTGTGGAGGCCGTGCTGAGCGGGGCTGGGTGGCCCAGCTTTGACTTCCTGTGCAGGAGCTGTTCCCGGTGCTGAGCAGCCGGGCAGGCCCCGAGGAGGCCGAGCTGCCACCCTGCCCCTCCAAGACCCCTGCTAGGGCCCCCAGATGGAGAAGCTTCACTGAGACTCCCAAGTGCAGGCTATCCTAGGCCAAGGACGGGGGGTGGCACCCCTGACAGCTTTGCTTGGCAGTCTGGAACCCGCAGAGGCTAAGGCTCCTCGGGGGTCCCCCATGGAGACCTGGCCTGCCCAGAGGTGCCTGGTGGACATTTCTGGCCCCCACTGTGGTGTCTCTCCATGACCTGCTCTTGGAGTCCACGTGGAGCCTAAGGCCTGAGGCCCAGCCCTTGTGCAGTAGCCTTCAAGGCGTCCCCTGTCCTGGCAGCTGGGCTGTCTTGAGGCTGGCTCCACCTGGCTCCAGCTTCCCCCTCCCCTTAGGTTCCAGGGCAGAGGCCCAGCCCCCGGGACCCCTGCTGGCCCTCTCCTGGGGCCCCGCTTTCTGCCAGGGAAGCCTTCCCAGCCTGCTCCTGTGTGGCCTCCGCTGCCCCCACTCAGCCCCTCTAGCTCTTGCCCGTCCTGGCCCTGCCCTCACTGGTGGTGGTGGCAGCAGTGCACCTGCCTGGCCTGACGCCCACAGGGCTGCCCCAAGGCCAGAGAGTCCATCCATGCTGGGGGACTTGCCCACTGCAGAGGTTAGGCCAGATCCTGGCCCAGGCAGGACGCCTAGGAGGAGGTGGGGGTGCACAGAGGCCTGGATGAAAAGACCTGGGACCAGCACACCGGTGCCAGCCCAGCTTGGGAGCCCCTGCACACCCCCATGCAGGGCCTGCCTGCCCAAGGGGCTGCCCAGCCTATGAGCCAGGCACCCCTGTGCCTCCGGGTAACCCCCAGCCTCTGTGACCCCAGCCGGAGCAGGAGGGCTCTGCCTTGTTTCCTCAACGTGGCTTTTTTTTTTTTTTTTTTTTTTTTTTTTTCCTGAGACAGGGTCTCTTGTTGCCTGGGCTGGAGTACAATGGCACAATCATGGCTCATTGCAATCTCCGCCTCCCGGATTCAAGTGATTCTCCTGCCTCGGTTTCCAGAGTAGTTGGGATTACAGGCACCTGCCACTACACCAGGCTAATTTTTTAATTTGTTTTCTTTTAATAAAGACGGGGTTTTGCCATGTTAGGCTGATCTCGAACTTCCAACCTCAAGTGATCCACCCACCTTGGCCTCTCAGAGTGCTAGGATTGCAGGTGTGAGCCACGGCGCCCAGCCCAATGTGGCCGTTTTGACGGGGCTTTCCCCAAGACAAGACCTGGCCCCAGCCCTCAGCCCCTCCTCCACTCCTGCAGACCCCAATCCTGCCCTGCCCATGGCACCACTGAAGGGCTCAGCAGGAGGCCTTGGTCACCAGTCGCCACCCGGGAGCTCTGTGAGTCCCATTGGCAGAGCTGACTCCTTAGGCTCGGTGCCACCCTGGTGTCCTTTGGGCTTGGCGCAGTCTCTGATGGGCAGCGGGTGAGTGGCACGGGAGGCCAGGCAAGCGGGAAGCCGATCTGTGCTGGCGAGCACACTCATCCGAGCCACGTTTGGGAGTTTACAGAGGCTAAGCGAGTGTAGAGTGTGGCATAGTCAGAGCAAGGTGGACGCGGGCTTCAGGGCGAGGCCCGGGCAGTGTCCTGAGCAGCCTGCACCGTGGCCAGGTCAGCTGTGTCTCCCAGGGCAGGCCCAGAGCAGGTGCAGACAGACACACACCACACACATCCAGGGCGGAAAACCAGGTAAAAGTGGAAAGGGACTTGGTATCACTTTAATATTGTGTAAGTTTTGCTTCTAAAAATTTAAATACTTCTCTGTGTATAGATCCTAAAACGTCAGGAAGACTGCCTGGCGGGGCCAGCCTTGAAGCCCCCTCCTGTAAGCCCTGGGCCGGCAGCTTTAGCCTCTACTCTCTGGAGCAGGGGCCGAGGGGACACAGTTTTGGGGGCCTGGCCGCCCCATTTCCTGAGCAAATGAAACATACCCGCCCCTGCCCAGGGCCTCCACAGCCACCCAGGCTCCCAGCAGGGACAGGGTCAGAGGCGGAGCAGGACCAGGCTCTCTGCGGATGGCGGCCCAGGAGCGCCCTTGGAGGGAGCTGGTGCATCCACCCTGCCCTCATGGCCCACAGAGCAGGCGCCCTCGGGGGTGCCCCGCTCCTCCTCGGGGGGTCCCTGCCGGTGCCGGCCCTGCAGTCTCTGCTGCCGCTCCTGCTCCTGGCGGGCACGGCTGGCGATGGCGCGCACACGGCTCTGGCTGCGGGAGGATGAGCGCCGCAGAAAACCGGGGCCCCCCGCCACCCCATCCCCGGCCGCACCCAGGCTGGTGGGAGACGTGATGTCCCCCGCTTGCTGGAAGACCGTGAGCCAGCGCAGCTGCTCCGTCAGGATGTCCCGCCTCCCTGCTGGCCCCAACACCTGCCGCGCCCCTCCCGGGAGGCCCAGGCTGTGGCTCAGGCTTCGGGAGCCACCCTCAGAGCAGGGGGCAAAGTCATCGGCAGTGAGGTCCCCCAGGCTCTTGGACTTGGCAGCCACGGGGCAGTCCTGCAGGCTCCCCAGGGAGAGGCGGCCCCAGGGCGGCCGGAGCGGGAGGCCAGGCATCCGTGGAGCCAGAGGCCTGGGCCGAAGGTCCTCAGGTGTGGGAGGCTGCTGGCCCGCAGCCCGCAGGTTAGGGTTGGATTTGCTCTTGGTCACCGGTGGCAGGTCTGGGTGGGCAGCTGAAGCCAAGTGGGGCCTGGGGCGCAGGCGTCCCACAGGGCCTCCGGCGAGGCCCAGACTGGGCAGGGAGAGGTCGATGACGGTGTCGCTGGATGACATGCTGGAAGAGGAGGAAACGCTGTCTCGGTGGCCATGTGGCTCCAGCCGCTGCCAGAGCCGGTCGCTGCCCGTGACGTCGGAGTACACGGCCGGGGCCGGGAAGAACCCGGCCAGGGGCTCTATGGGCACCTGCCCCTCGCTCTTCACCCTTCTAATCACGGGCAGGGGGCCCAGGGTCCGGGGCTGGCTTCTGCCGTCGGTCTGGCTGCCGGGGGCCCCCTCGCATGCCTCGCCGGGGCCCCTGCCGTGGCACGGCCTCGGCCTGCTGTCTCGGGGCTCCTCAGGGTCCTCTGGGGGGCTTGCCACATTGGTTCCGGGTCCCGTGGGACACGGAGGCCATTCCTGAGAAGAGTTGGTGGGGACGGCCGCTGGTGGCGGGGGGCCGGGGCCTGGGGCAGGCTCCTCGGCAATGGTCTCCAGGCCGCACGGTGCAGGGAGCGGCCGCTGCGTGGAGAAGGGGTGGGTGTCTGTGGGGAGGTGGGGGGAGTGAGAGAGAGAGGGAGACAGCAGAGGCGGGAGGAGAGTTGGATCAGGGCGGAGTTCCCAGTGCCCGGCCCCCACCCTGAGGCATCCCCTGGCACTCTGCCCCCACCCTGCTGCTACTCCGGCGCAGTCCACACCCTGTGCCACACATGGGGCCCTCCTGGGACTGGGACAGCAGGGACACGGGGGCTGGGCCCCGTTACCTGTCGCTCGCGCGCTCAGTTCCTAACTATGGAGGCAGCGTGGGTGGGGGCAGAAAGGAAAGCTCGGTCAGGGGGGCTGGAGGGACGGGGTGGGGAGGGCAGGGCAGGCTCCCTGTCTGTCCCTCCCTCCGGGCTATGGTGATGCCCTCACAGTGGGACGCCTCAGCCCAAAGCAAGAAGACCTGGGGCCCAGGGAGTCCCCTCCACGCAGGCGTCCCTGGCACACAAGGCACCCTGCGGCTACACCACCTCAGGCTTCCCGGTAGGGACCCCTGGAGCCTGCCCTGGGGGAGGCAGGAACGGGATGGGAAGTGGACCCCAGTCCCGGGGAGGGGGGCGTCAGGGGCCATGCTGGTCGCCACCTGGGAGGCGAGTTTAGGGAAGCGCCCAGCAGGAGGGGCCCAGCACGCCAGGCCACACTCCGGGCCCAGGGCCTCAGCGGGAGCAGCTCCTGCCGAGAGCCCCAGCCCAGCCCGTCAGGCCACAAACCAGCTCCACCCGAGTCCCAGGGCCTCAAGGTCACACAGGAGGGCTGGGGCTACAGGCCACAGGCAAGCCAAGGGAGCGGAGTGCCACGGAGACAGAGCCACGAGCACACGGGGCGACGCTGTCCACACAGAAGCAGCAGCAGGTGACCCCGGTCCAGCCATGCCAGGGGCGTGCAGGAGGACTGCGCAGGGCGGGAGGGCGGGGCTTACCGGCGGAGAGCATGGGGGATTCACTCCTGATATCCTCCAGCTTTTGAGCAAACAAGGCACTCATCTCTCCCTGCAGGGCCCCCGGCTGCCTGCAGGCGCCCTCGGGCCAGCGGGCCCCCACTTCGGGG